AAAAAAAAAAAACAAAAAAGTAACTGCTGGTAAAAGCATCATTGGTATTACTTGAAAACAATTAACAGGGATACAAAGACAAAGATATTTACATCTTTGACTTAGTAATTCGCCAGTAAATAGTCCATGAAACAAAAATAATCCAAAACACAAAAAAAGCCCCTAGATGCAGTTAAGCAAAGAAATTTTAGAGCAGGCTGGGGGTGGTGATTCACGCCTATAATCCCAGCACTTACAGGGAGGCCAAGTGCGGGTGGATCACCTGAGGCCAGGAGTCCGAGACCAGCCTGGCCAAAATGGTGAGACTCCATCTCTACTAAAAATTAGCCGGGTGTGGCGTCATGCACCTGTAGTCCCAGGTACTTGGGAGGCTGAGACAGGAGAATCGCTTGAAACCGAGAGGAAGAGGTTGTAATGAGCTGAGATCACAGCCATTGCACTCAAGCCTGGGTGACAGAGTGAGACTTTGTCTCAAAAAGAAAAAAAAAAATTTAGAGCAGTTGGGCACGGTGGCTCACACCTGTAATCCCAGCACGTTGGGAGGCTGAGATAGGAGGATCATTTGAGTCCAGGAGTTTGAAACCAGTCTAGGCAACATGTCGAGACCCCATCTCTACAAAAAACAAAACAAAACAAAACAAAACATAAAAAAAGGCCAGGAGCAGTGGCTCACGCCTGTAATCCCAGTACTTTGGGAGGCTGAGACAGGCAGATCACCTGAGGTCAGGAGTTCGAAATCAGCCTGGCCAACATGGTGAAATACTGTCTCCACTAAAAGTACAAAAATTAGCCAGGCATGGTGGTGAGCGCCTGTAATCCCAGGTACTTGGGAGGCTGAGGCAGGAGAACTGCTTGAGCCCAGGAGGCAGACGTTGCAGTGAGCCAAGATCACGATATTGTACTCCAGCCTGGGCAACAGAATGAGACCCACAACAAAACAAAAAAAAATTATCAGGACATGATGGCCTAACTCCCTGCTACTCAGGAGGCTGAGGCAGGAGGATTACTTGAGCCTGTGAGGCAGAGGTTGCACTGAGCTAACATCGCACCAGTCAAGGCGACATAGTGAGACCCAGTCTCAAAAAAAAAAAAGACAAGAAAAGAAAAATTTCAGAGTAGCACTGTACATCAGAACTTTCCGAGATGATGGAAATAGTGTCACTAGCAACATGACTAAACACTTGGAATATGGTTAATATAACTGAGGAGCTGAGTTTTTAATTTTAATTATTATTATTATTATTGTTATTTTTGAGAGGGAGTCTCATTCTCTCGCCCAGGCTAGAGTGTAGTGGCGCGATCTTAGCTCACTGCAACCTCTGCCTCTGGGTTCAGGCGATTCTCTTGCTTCAGCCTCCTGAGTAGCTGGGATTACAGGTGCCCGCCACCACAC